GGCTGATGCTGAGTTGAGTTGTGGCCGTAGCGCAGCAGGCTTGCGCTTCGGGTAGATTCTCGCACCAGGTGCGCACGCACCCTCGCTAGCTGGGAAGGTGTTCATATGTGTCAACCCATTTGGACATTTACCTGTCTAATGAGCCTCAAAAATCTATATTTTTACTAAAAATCCGTAGGCTACTACTTGTAGCCGCGCGTGGGGGTCTGTCCGTGGAGATGACAGCACCTGTTGTAACGCAGGAGCAAAGGAGAGCAGAAAAAGTGGATAACGTAATGTTTATTGTTTTTTGTTTTTTTTAAACGTCCGTTCAACGCCGTGTTCAACTAAATAGACAACAACTAACCAGACTTCAACATCACATTCAGGAGATGTCTGTAAATTTCAGGAAAATCTCAGGCTTTGGTTATCCTGTGCGAATGCGCCACATAAAACAATGTCACTCCACTACTTATTTAGACAGTTTTCTCACTCATTCTCCATTTAATGTATAGTTTTCCTGCATCTAAAAATCATTTCGGATCCCACAGAGAGGAATCTGAGAATATCACGCGCTGGACACATTTACATCTATTTTACAGATTTATATGGAGGTGTGTCAGGGGAGGTTTCTCACGTGCGCTCAGTTCCACGGTCGTTGGGATGTATAAAGGAAAGGTTCGCAGGAACCTGCGTACGCATGGATTTATACATCTGTGAAAGATATTTTTACACTTTATCATTTTTTATATTTGATCCTTTGCATTAATCAATTGTWTTAAATGTCTTTCATGAATGAATGAAGCTTTGTCTGTTCTTGGCTGAGAACAGGCCTTAGTAAGCTGCCATAATTTTCATCTCTGCAGCTTTGAGCTGCACTAACTACTCCTAGATCACCACCATGTGGACAAGTACCGTAAAACACAACACTGATTCCATTTTACTGCTGTTGAACCAGCAATCATAATAATCAATTTCTGGCTATCTGTCAGCAAAATATCTCATAAAACACAAGACCCAAAAATATATCTTAGAAAGCTACTATTTCACAAAATAGGTTTGTCTTCTTATGCTAAAATTAGTTTATAGCTACTTTTTGCTCTTGGCTGCTTTTACTTTTATTRTTCGGAGATAAAAACTACCTTACCATTTTGCTTTTTTTTTTTTTAGCTTGTCATTAATATGACTTCACTTACCAGTTATACTGTATATTGTTTTAGCTTTAAGCTTGTGTTTTGTTTCAGCTTTAACAACAGTTTCAGYTTCATCAAATTTTAGCAGTCATTGAGCGTTCACACTGTAATTTGACAAAAGCAGGCAGATTTTCTGGTTCCATTAGATTTGATCTCATAGTTTTAGATGTTTTTTGTTATACTATCCATTAATCTGTTTTTTTTTTTTTAAATCTGAAATCAGATCAAAAAGAGACCTATAAAGACTCCTCAGACTAAAGAAGTCTTTTGGATAAAAGATGAAATGTTTAAACAAAGCAAAATCTGTCCAGAGGACCTGCTCAACCTTGTTAGATTGACCTTTTATAGTTTTTTTTATAGTTGAATCATAATTCATAATCACTGTCTGAATGTTATTAATGCTCCCTTTTATTTATTTAATTTTTACTTTTGTCTGTTTCAAATTCTCACAGTGACCTTTGTTTTTTTCCCTTTCTTAAACTAAAGGGTACAAATTAATAAATCTGCTTCTGGTTGCATAAAAAACTATCAAACTTAATAAATCACCATGTGTAAAGGATTTTTATTTTATTTTATTTTATAGGAAAATTATTCACATAAGTGGCACAAAACTACTAGCAGTTGAACATTTAGGCATGGTAAAACATACTTAAATCTAATTATATACAGCTAATAGGGGTGCACCAAAAAAATTGTTTTACATCAGAATCGTGATTCTCATTTACAAAGATTCAGAATCGATTTAAAATGTCCCAAAATCGATTTTTATAAATAAAAAGATAAAGCAAATCCAAAGGCTGTCAGTCTCCATTCCTTAACTACATGAGACATCCCGACGTCATCACACAGCTGCTTCTGGAACATGAATGTGCAGAAAGCACCAAAACGAAGAGGAAACTACAGAACTGGAGGAAAGAGAGATTCAGCCAGCCCTGTCTTCGTTAAATGTTAAGATTTGGGCTCATTTTGTTTTTGTTTTTTTACTGAATGAGTCTGAGTTTGACATGAGCGAGGTGCGCGAGGTTTGCAAAATGAAGATGAAGTGCTTTGGGAACACGACAAATGGGTTCACATTATCAGTTCTGAATGAAAAATCGATTTTAAATTGAATCGTGGCCCCAAAAATCTAAATCCAATCAAACCGTGAGAGAGAAAAAGATTCCCATCCCTAACAGCTAATATTTTTCTCAGACCAAAGGAAAATAAAAGACAATCAATTTATAATTTGATTTTCTATAAAATAAATTCTGGCTCACGYCTAAAGATGTCCAGTTAGAAAGTTCTTTAAAAGAGCTGAGGGCTGTCAGGAATCAGGAAAACTATGAGTTACAGAAAATCAGGTTGGTTGTTTCCACCAGTGTGTTGGAAAAACCACAAGAAACAGGTAGACCAAGGAAAACATCAAAGCAACAGGACGAGTAGAGACGAGTCTGCTTTGGATGAGGAGAGACTGCCAGAACGTTCGTTTGGTTCTTGTCCARTGATGCCGTGGTGGTGGTGGTGGGCTGCAGAGGAAATGGAGCCCATGAATGGAAAGTAGTTGAAGGATGATGGTGCACTTGTCCACAAGCACAGTTCCGACATTTCTTCTTCGACCCACCAATCTCAGTTTGAACAGATGGAAACAGAAAAAAAAAAACCTCTGTAGAGTAGATCTGTTAATGCCATACCAAACTCTGAACTCAAAAAAAAGTATGTATATCTCTAATTTCTTTAAAAAAATAATCAACTCATTACAAGTAGTGTTTCCAGATTTTGATGAGAGGTTGYTTGAAGCCATTTTCCTGAGATCACCAAAGATTCATTAGAAATTCAGATGCTCAGAGTGAGTTACATTTATTAAAAATGATGCAGATGGTGACACTTTCTTGTTACCCTATTAGCTGACATGTTCCTTGGGGTTAGCTTCACAGCAGAAGCTAGCTGGCTAACTAAGAACACCAACCTTCCAGCACCACCATTAGCTCTGACTCGACCTCAGTATTAAAACACTCTGCAGTTTGTTGAGAAACATAAATACTAAATGACATGAAGTGAAATACATTTAAAAATAATTTATATTGAAGCACTTTTAGCCCACAAACAAAGAAAAACATCAGATCATTTAAAGACAGAAAAAGAAGTGTCAGAAAAACTGCGATGAGACAAAACATTTGTCCAGATAAAGTTAAAGCATTGGCACAGAAATATACCACAGTAYTTTTTGTCTGTCAGCTTCACAAAGTAGGCCAGATACTCGGAGTCTGATGAGAAGAGATGGAAAATATTTCCTGGGACCACCACCTGAGGAAGTCCATCAGAGACAGGTGGTGCGTCGCACAGGAGCCTCTGACCAGTGAATTACAAACAGGAACATTCTTTGGCTGCTGGAGAGGAAGGCCTGAACCATTTTCAACCTCTCCTGGGGACAAAAAGTCTCTATTATACCATCGAGTTGCTCTCACCCGCTTTGTCCACGTACTGAAAAAAAAAAGGAACAAAACAAAGGGTTACCTCACTTGTTGGTGAGATTAAACTGATATTTCCACATTAAACTTCAGAGGGTCTAAAGTGAAACATGCATGACATGAGGGGGACACACCACAGCTACCACATCAGATTTGGGCTCAATTTATGTGAATCTCAGCACTTTATACCCATTTCTGTGTTGGCTAAGCTCGATTAGCTGTGGCGGTTCTTGAACTAGATGGATTGCAGTTTCTTTAACAGTAGATTATAATAAACCCAACATGTTGAAATGAATTCCAGATGGGAACAGAGAAAATGAGCAGAGTGCAGCTGTGGTGTGAGCCACGTTTAGATGTTCTCATGGACATGAATAACAACACRGAGTTCAGTCCTTTCATTGAACTCCAGCTTTGCTCTACATAAATAACTTGGTGTACCACCTTTAATTTTATTATTACAGATTTTTTGCCACTTTAAATCATGCAGTCTTGTTTAAACTCCTGATCAAGCACTTTTTTGATTATCTTTCGAATCATGAGGAAGTTTTTGACTTTCTGAAGTTCCCTGTTGGACTTTGGCTGCTCTCTCAGTTTGAATTAGGAATTAAGTACCAACAAAAAGAGCCTCAAAAACAAATCATATATGCATTTAGCCACGTGTTTGTGTCTCATCATGCCTTCTAAATGACATGCAATTCTAACCACCTGCTTTGTGTCTTGGAATCAAACAATAATAAAACTAAAGTACATTTATCTRTATGACCATGATTCTAAGATTATAACAATGGTGCGTCTCATCACCATGCTCAAAGATCAGCTGCTTGAAATAAATGATGGTGGGTGGTGTGTGAGACAACATTAAGTCTGCATACTTTCTGGATTTAAGTCAAGGAAGTATATCTGAGATCATCACAGAAGCAYTGAAAACCTTGCTTCAGTTTCCTATAACCTACATGTGTGAWGCAGTGGTAGCAACCGAAAGAAGATTGTGGAGTAGACAGGACATTAGAAACATACGTTGAGTAGTCTTGTATCGCTCCCAAATGGAATCATTGCTGTTGGGGCGCTGCTGTGGTTTTTAGACCATAACTTGGTCTCAAAATTCTGCAACACCAAGGCCCAGTCCCATTGCTCAGTGTGCACCCTACGCCCCTCTGTGAAGTGTGGATTCAGTCAAAGTGCACATAAGTGTTCGAGTGCACAGATTACAAATGTGCAAAAACATTTAGAATTGGGACAGTACTGATTACGTCATCAAACACCGGTCGCTACTAGGCCAAATTTCAAATACATAAAAGCAAATATTTAAAGAAAGAAGCTAATTTTATCTCCTTCATGATTGAGTTTACACAATATATGCAATGTATTCACTTCTCTACTAAGCAGAAGGCAAAAAACATTACAATGTCTTGTTCACTTTTTGGAAGTCCTGATTTAACTTTGCCGTGATTGGTTCTTTTTTGTGGTGTAATCATTTTATTTAATGTTTATATTATTATTATTATTATTTATACATTTTTTTCCTCTTTTTTCATTTAGATTTCTTCATTCCCCCGGCAGCATTGTTATTTTTTGTACCATGTTCGAAAACGGTCACTGTTTTGGCAGCAATAAATTGTGGGTAATACACTTCACYGAAGTCCGTAAAAGTGCAGACTTTGCGGAAGGGCGGAAATAGTACCCAAAATGAGCGGGACGAAGGGATGTGGAGAACGTGGGACACACTATGCACTCAAACCCTTCAACATGAACGCGCATTTGAAGTGCACAAGGGCAGAACGAGGGTGGGAGTGTGGGTATTGGGACAGGGCCCAAATGTGCTATATTGACTAGAGGCGCTAACACATGCCTTTTCCTGTTCAGAGAGCGACCATATTGTTCAGGGCTAGGATTACTCGACAGTGTTGTAAGCTGGGCAAGCTGAATATGGTAAGCATGACACATTAGATTTAGGTTAGCACATCAGTGAAACTGAGTTTGCTATCGACAGCCAATATTTTGATTTGATATAAATGCTTGTCAGTAAAATATTACAATATCAGGCAAAAACATACTGCCAAGGTACACATGTATGCAATGAATGATGTTTCTAAAAGTCAGAGTTAACCAATGAAAAACTAATATTTATATATATTTATTTATTTATTTAATTTAACCTTTATTTAACCAGGTAGATCTTATTGAGATTAAAAATCTTTTTCAACAGAGACCTGGTCAAGAATGGCAGCAGCACACAGACCTGCAATGAATGATGTTTCTAAAAGTCAGAGTTAACCAATGAAAAACTAACATTTATATATTTTTATTTATTTATTTAATTTAACCTTTATTTAACCAAGTAGATCTTATTGAGACTAAAAATCTTTTTCAACAGAGACCTGGTCAAGAAYGGCAGCAGCACACAGACATTACAAAACTCAATATGCAAGCAAATATTTATCAAGGCTAGATTTCTGTGTAAATCTAGCCATGATAAATTGTTTATTTTGACAACCAATCCCGTCCAATACGCTGTTGTGCTCATAGCACAGCAGTCAATTTTCTGAAGCATGAGTGACACCTCTAAGCCTACASCTCACTGGCGCCACCATTATGAAAGAGAAGTCCAGAGGAAGACAGCTGGTGTCAGTGGTAAAATAATACTTTTATTCTTTGGAGAAACTAAGTTCATTTGCAGCCCAGGTTTCAAATCAACAAATCATGTCCGTGTTCAAGAAAAACAAACAACATAAAACAAATGATTATCGTCTAAAATTAGGAACTGACTGTTTGAAGCTTCTTTTTGTGYTTTTTTACTCCCACGGTACGTTGACAAGTGGTGACAGAAAAGTGTTTTTGGTRCATGATTATCTGCCGTTTGGTTGAAAAGAATGTGTGACTTTCAGCAGCACGACATGCTTTAATAAATAAACTTTATGTGTGTGCATCCTTACTGTTTTCTAATCTTGAGAAAGTTGATTTTAAGYAGTCTCTTTAGAGTTAACAGACATTTTCAACAATCACCTAGGTTTGCACAGAATTCTTGGCTGTATTTCTCTCCTCCACCCTCTTTAATCAAAATATAAGTGCTCCCTTTTGGTGTAGCATACTCTCCTCTGAGCCAAAGTTAGGGTGTAAAAAAAGCAACAGCACCTCCTATAGTTACATATAAGGCGGTTTCAGGCAGGGGAGCCGTTAGCCTGGCCCTTGCCTTCCTACGCTGCTCCGCACAATTCTAGTTTCCCTTCACTGCTCCGTCTGGCATTTCTCCCATAGACAAGGATTTCACTGGCAGATTTTTAGCCGGGCCAATCAGAGAACAGAACGTCAATTTTCTGCGCAGTGTCTGCTTATAGTTTATTTTACCTGGGCCAATCAGCAAACAGAAGGAGTAGTTTTGAATGACGTCGATTTTCTGCACAGTGTTTGCTAGTTATTTTATCATACGGCAGTGGAGGAAGTGAATGAAGCCAGTCTGTGTTGATAAGGCTTCCAAATTAAATTAAATTTGTCTGACAAAGCAGCAGCTCTCATTTACAGTC